ATATTAAGATCCAGAAATCATTTTATGGGCTTCTAAAATAACGCAAGGTTACTGAGCACATGCTGTGTACCAGGCTGTGTGACAGGCATTTGACACACACACAGAGCAGAACACAGTCGCTGCAGTACAAGAGGATATTACAACACGAGGTTTTATGGGCCCCCTGAGAAGGTGAACTGAAACATCTGACAAGAGAAGGACTTCCTCAAGGAGAAGCTTGGTCTTGAAGAAACGTGAGTACGGGTTATCAGGGACAGAGGTGATGGGGTTGGGGAAGCTTCCGTACAGAGGAAAGGGACTGTGCTAAGCACAACCCATTTGGGGAACTATAAATGGCTTGGTGTGGCTGGAGCATTCAGTGTGTTTTGAAGATTGGCAAGGGGTGAGTTTGGGGATTGACGAAGGGGGTTAGATTCGAAGGTTCCCATGTCCGCGGTAAGAGGCTCCATTTTGATTCTGGCATCAGTGAGGAGTCAAGAGGGTTTTAGGCAGTGGAATGTCATGAATGGCTTTTCTTTGCAGAAAGATGGTTTTGATGGGTGAGGAGCCAGGGAAGGCACGCTGGTTAGGAAACTGTCTCAGTGGTTTCAGGGAGGAAGGCTGAGGGTGCGGACCAGGGCAGCAGCAGGGGACCTGGAGAGGTAAGGGGCGATTCCCGCACAGAACTGACCGGCTTCTTGATCTCACTGATGGAAGGAGGGAGAGAAAGGAAGAAGGCTAGGAAGACACCCTTGTTTTTGGCTTGGGTAGCGGGGAGAATGGTGGTATCACTCACGGAATTAGGGAAAACAGAAGGAAGAACAGATTTTGTGGAGGAAGATGGTGAGTTTGGTTTTGGCTGTGTTGACTTTGAGATGCACACAGGAAGTCCAATCATTGCTGTTTAGCAGGCAGACATATGCAAAATCATGGCTATGACTGTGATTCTCAAAAGAGAACATGTGCAGTGAGGCATGAAAGGGCCAGACACCCACATTTAAATAATGAACTGACAGAGAGGAGTTCAACAAGGAAAGCAGGAATGAACGAGCCAGGAAGTATGAGGAGCAGCAAAAGAGAGCAAGCACATGGCGGGGGTGGGGAGGTGGCAAGAGCTTTGTGGCCTGGCCTGACTTAGTGCTCACGAAATGGATCTCTCCCTTCCTAGATACTAGATGAGCTCCGTTTTCCAGTCTTCTTGCATGTGGAGAGAGCCAGGGGCTGGGAATGTCAAAAGGATGTGAGAGGAGGAAATGTGTAATTACAAGAAGGTCCGTTTTCCTCATGCTCCTTTCCTTCACATCCATGTTCCCTTTGGAAGTCACACGTAAAAAAAAAAAAAAAATTAAAAGGAAAACACTCTGATTTTGAGTTTTATTTGTTACCGTAGCAGAGCCTAGCCTATCTTTCCTGGTCCTAGTTAGCAGTCAGACAGATGGGTTTGAATTGTTTTTACCTTTTGCCAGCTGTGTGACCTTGAATAACTGGCTTAAATTTTTTTTTTTTTTGAGAGAGAGAGAAAGAGAAACACTGATATGTTTTTCTGCTTCTTTTTTGCATTCATTTTTCTTGTATGTGCTCTGATCGGAGATCAAACCTTCAACCTTGTTGTATTGGGACAACGCTCTAACCAGCTGAGCTCCCCAGCCAGGGCCTGAATGGCTTAATTTTTATATGCTTCCGTTTCCTTATTGGGATAGTAATATAACAACAATAAATAATACTATAGTAAATAATAACATATTTTATTATTTTAATAAATGTTTTAAATAAAAATATTTTAAACAATATATAATAAATAATATCTACCTCATATTATTCAGAATAAAATGAGGTAATAGGGAGACATGTGAAAAACTTAGAACAGCATTAACTACTCTAGAAATGCTAGAAGCTGGTGGAGAGGAGAATGTCAAGAATGGGGGGTACGGTGTAGAGATGGGGACAGCAAACTACCGCCTGCAGGTCGAATCTGCTCAGCTGCCTGTTTGTGTCTAATTTCCCAGTTGAGAATGGGTTTTACATTTTTAAATAGTTGAAATAAGTTACATGAAAACTATGGAATTCAAACTTTAGTATCCATAAATAAAGCTTTACGGGAACACAGATATACCATACTCATTTGTTTAAGTGTTGTTATGTCTGCTTTTATGCTACAATACCAGAACATGAGTAACTAATAGAGACCTTATGGCCCACAAAGCCTAAAATATTAACTACCTGGCCTTTGACAGTAAAAGTTTGGTGAATGAATGCAGTATAGGTCAAGAAAGATAACTAAAAAGTATAAATGAGTTTGATAATAGATTACCAGTGACCTTGATAATGGCTTTACTTGAAGTGGTATAAGTAGACACTAGGTTTCGGTGACAGACTAATCAAAATTTGATTCCTGACTCTTCAGCTTGCTAGCTGTGTGGTCTTGGGAAGCCATTTAACTTCTCAGAGCTTCAATGTGGTCAACAGTAAATTGGGGATAAACAGAGCTACCCTCTGGGTTATCGTAAGGATTAGCAACAATGCATGTAATCCATAAAACACAGTATCTGGTTCATAGGAAGTGCTGGATATAGCCCTTGCTTCATTTAATCTGCGCTGCCACCAAAGTTGCTATTCCTTTACAGGTAACACTTTTCATTATTAAAAAAAAAGTTGTTTTGGTTTTTTTTTATCCTCACCCAAGGGCATGTTTTCATTGCTTTTAGAGAGAGGGAGGGAGGGAGAGAAACATTGATGTGAGAGAGAAACACTGATTGGTTGCCTTCTTGTATGGATCCAGACTGGGGATTGAACCTACAACCTGGGTATGTGCACTGACTGGGAATCGAACCCATGATTTTGGTCCATGGGATGATGTTCCAACCAACTGAGCCACACTGGCCAGGGCAGCCTTTTCACTTTTAATATTTTATTTGTCTTCTGTGTTCTGATGTTTTACAATATAGGCCAAGTCTCAGCTCATCATCTCATCTCTTTAATGAGGCCATAGGAGTTAATATTGACCATTCCATTTAATACGAGAAACTGTCCCCTATCCAAGCATTCCTAACCCTTTCATCTTGTTCTACTTTTCCTTTTTTCATACAATCTATTACTTCTGACAACCTAGAGAATTTACTAATTTATTACGTTTATTGTTTACAATCTGTCTTCCCCACTAGAACGTAAGCTCCTTGCTTCTTTTATACCATTATATATTTCAAGTGCCTAAACAGCACCTGGCACACAGTACACACTCAATTATATTTGTTAAATGACTAAATGAAAAAAATATGTGAGAATTTATTTATTTTTTTCAAATCTTGGCTTAGGACTGGATGCACTCCATCAATCTGAGAACTTGTCTTTCATCATCTCTGTAAAATTTTCAACTCTTATCTGGTGAGTACAGCCTCTGCTCCATCCCCTTCATTTTCTCCTTCTGGAGCTCCCTTTAGCATATGCCCAGTCATTCTCTCCTTAGTGTCTCCTAAGTTCTTTCTTATATTTGGCAACTATTTAGCTCTCTATTTTATTCTAAGGCAATTTCCTCAACTCTACCACTAAGTTTCTTTTTAGCTGTGTCTAGTCTACTACTCAACCTTTTAGTTGAATTTTTATTTTTATTTCAATGATGATTTTTTGTGTGCCAAGAATTTCTATTTCTTCCTTTTTCCTTCCTGCTTCTTTTCCATTTTTTTCCCTTTACTTGTTTCAGGATTTCTAATCTTCCTTTTATCTCTTTGATATTTAAAATATTGCTATCTTAAGATTTCTTTCAGACTTTTCTGTTATTTCTAGTTTTGGGGGTGTGAAGCCTTTCCGTTGTTGAATCAGCTGGAAATCTTTTTACAGTTTATTTCTTTGCACAGCCTGTGCTGTTGGATTGTGAGCTCAACTTCAGCAGTGGTGGTTTGGTGTTTGCCTATGCTGAGGTCTTAAGGGTTAGCAACTGAAGAGGCTCCAAAACTGTGCCAGCAAATGGCCTGTCTTTGGAAGCTAGGAATGGGAGCAGGGAATGTGCTTGAAGTTTATGTCCCCACTGTGAAGCTGCTGTATAACTGGGCAAATTACTCTCTGCTTAATTTTCTTATCTATGAAATACACATATAATACTTCCTATTTCCTAAAGATGTTGTGAGGGGTTACCGAGATATTCAAATTAAGAAACTTGGCACAATGTTTAGTATTTAGTAAGTGCCTAATAAATGCTAAAAATGTTATAAGTATACAGTAGTCATTGTATCACTCATCAATAACTTCTTGCTTTGTGACATAAGGAAACTTAATGCTTGTGACAATAGTTTCTGGATATGTATATGGAATGTGTAGCCACCCATTAAATTTGGACAGTGGTCAGATCTGCTTTATTTGTGACATATATTAGTTGAAGGTGGGGAAAAAATCCCAGAACATGTTCACTTGGCTTTCAGCCATTGAAGAGGAGCACTGATGAGAGGTGGAAGGGAGTTTCAGACATTATCCTTTTTTAAAAATAAAGCCCAACTGGAGAATTGGATCATTTGCCAACTATTTTGCATCATTAAAATATAGCAGTAGGGAGAGTTCTTCTGCTGAGAGGAAGATGACCCAGATAAATTTCTTTTATTCAAATAGAAAATACATTCAACTCTCTGGCAGTGTGTCCTTGACCACCAGTCCCTTTCAAAGGTTAGAAATAGAAAAGCAGAGGCCCAAACCTGTAGTCAATGCTTAATAAATACCTTTGGTTTATTACTGGTTAAGGGAGAGAGATACAAGCAAATTCTTGGGCAAGATAACTCATGTAATCTCATTTCTATCACATGGACCGTCTAACTGTAAACTTTTCTTTAATTAATTACCATTTCGAATCTGTGGATAAGGAAGAGCTCAAGGACCAAATTTAATGAATGAAAGCTGTAGGCTACTATGATTTGTCACGGGATATGTGTTACAGTAAACATTTTTAAAAAATGACATAATTCTAATTTTCATGAAACATTAACAAAGGCTAAAATTAAAAATATTTAAACAGAGAAATGTTTTTCGATTCTAATTACCTGATCTTCATAGTCAGATCCTGTATCAAGGACCTCTCCAGTGTCCAGCATCATTGAAGGATCAAGGTCACTTGAACCTAAGATTAGGAAAGAAAAGGTTACCTGATGGAGGCCGTCTATGCATGGTTCTAAAGCAAACAATCTCCCACTAGGTTTCCATATTATCCTTATGATTACATTCACTTTGCAAATATTTCCAGACTATTCCCACCTGCCAGGCACTGTTGGGTCTGCAGATGGAAAATGCGGACGCTGTGGACACTGTCTCTACCCTTAAGAAGACAATCTTGAGAAGGAGATGTGTTTGTCAACAGCAGGTTCAGAAACCAAAAAGAAAAAGGCCACTAATTATGACTAGTAGTGGAGGTGGGATTCTTCACAAGGAACTAATCCATCGGCCTGAACTGTGAGGGTGACAGCGGTGTCCAGAAGGAAAGCTGTTTGGGGGTGTGCAACAGAAGCTGAGGCGGAAGGAACAACATGAGCGAAGGCCAGAGGGTAAGAAGAGCAAGGGGTTCTTAGAAATAAGACATGCTGAGTTTGCTCAGTCCAAGAAAATCTGTTTTTCCTCTAGCCTTTGTATCACCTTAGTCCCTGAAGGTGAGAAAAATCGGGTCAACTTAATGTATTAATAGTTTTTTCCCTCCCTAGGTACTACTGGTTACATTAAATTGCTTACCCAGTAAATCCCCAAGGCTCAAACTTAAACTGGTAATTTTCATAATAGGGCTTCTGCAGCAGAATGGATTCATTGTCCTCATCTAATGACTTTCCTGCTGGGAAATAGAGAGGCGGGCAAAAGTAGATTTACAGGCGCAATGTAAATAAATAATGCAATAAATAATAATACAAAAATAAATGTTTTGCACGCTCGTTACTGTAAACCTCCTTTTGCCCACTCCTGGGGCCATCACCTAACTAGCCAGTGAGAGAGAATTCAGCGCTGCCCATAAACGCTATGCACTCTATGAAGAAATAAGCTCCTCCGCGTTTCATTCTAAACTTGGCCTTGCCGAATAATTCTTGACCACAATATGAAATGAGTAATGTTTAGTGAAGATGGATTTTTAAATAAAAACACCAAGAAACTCACACCCTTCTCAGATATGGACCTTCCCAGAAATGCTTTCATACTTCCTTTTAGAAAGAGAATCAACGTAGGCCCTCACATAGTCTTTTCTCAACTCTTCTCATCATCACTCCTGCTGTTTACCGAAATGACTAACTACTAAGCAGTACCACTATTGTTGTTTGTATCTTTAAATTTTTTTTAAAGGGTCATTAAGTTTTTCAAAGCAGAGATACTTGACCCATCAAGCCATTTTACAAAAGTAACCAATCATGGAGTTGCCACATATAGGTGCATGCGGCACAATTCCAGGGGATACCAATTGCATTGTCGGAGTGGTCCTTGACAATTCCATTGTTGTTAATAAAGTGCTTGCTAGAATGGAGTTGGGAAGACTCTGCACCCCACACTAGTAACAGAGTGAGACTAGAGGGGTGATACAGAAATTTTTATTTTACATGTAATAAAATAATATATATTTTATTTTTTAAAAAGGGGGATTACATATAACTTTTCTATCGTTGTGCTTTTGGTGTTTTTCAAATGAAAGTTTTTGTAAGGTGTGTCTTAGGGCCGAGATAGTTGACTGTCTCAAAGCCCAGTCTAAAGATCAGTTTGTACGTATGTGTTGCAAGGCAGTAAAGATATCAGAAACAAAATGTATATTTTTTCATTGTAAGAGCACAGACATTTTAGAACCAGTGTTTCACAGAATCCCACTCCTTCATTTTAGAACAGAGAAAAATGAGCTGCAGAGAAGTTAAGTAACTTGGCCAAGATCATGCAGAAAATGAGATGAAGACAGAAGCCATAGCTCCCAGTTCTCCTAACACATCCTGCTGACTCCAAGTTCTAAGCAGGAGCCATCCCAAAAGGCCTCATGAGCATGACCTTCCGTTGTAGCACTTGATACGAGAGGACCTGGAGGAGGCTGCTGTCTCTTCTACATTCTGGGAAAATGAGGAGCAGTGAGTGGTTGGTGATGAGGCGGGACCCTGGGTGGCTGCAGAAATGGAACAATTAGAAGTAGAATCAAGGAGTGTCACTCCAGCCTGTGACATTCAAGGGGCTGCTAGTGACAGCATCACTCAAGGTGATGGCAATTTTATTTAGTTTCCATTACTTCCACAGTATGAATATTATCCACCACTGACTAGCGAGAGTGGTGATGGGTACTCAAATGATTCCCTCACCTCGCGTATATTTATAGTGATTCATGTGAGGTGAGCAATGTGATACGAACACAAAGACTTATTAAATGTATACCTGTTATAGTTCCTGTGTCCTACTTACTTTATTTAGTTAGAAACTGTTCTTTTGGTTGTTTTACAGAGAGTATAAAGTGAAGGGCTCTTAAACAACCCAGTAAGAGATATTACACATTAATATTTGAAACTGGAACAAGATTATTAGAAAACTATTTTCAGCGAGAGACTTTGTTAAAAAAAAAGAAAACAACAAAAACCTGTGCTTACAAGGAAGAAGAAATTGACTTTCCCAATAAAATGCTTTTAACAGAAATTTTATTGTATCATAAAAGGATGAAATTTCTTGACAGGTTGTTGCTCTTGGCAACAGTACTAATATATCATAGAAGGCAATAGACAAAGGATGTTATTATCAGCTCAGATAATGACTGAATAGCTTTCATTTTCTTTTGTATTCGTTGCTTGGTTTGCTGAAAATGGGACCTTTAATAACAGCCTAAGGTTTGAGGTACAAAATAGGGAGGTAAATATAGCCATATGGATACATTTTTGCCTTCTTTCACTGGACAGATTAACATACCAAACAACTTTAATGATCTTGTACTCAAAAAAAGAGAGCAAAATTAGGATATTTGAAAAAGTGATACTATGGCTTTTACTTCCCCCAACTTTGAATTTCTTGATTTCTTTTCAGCTTTATAAATATGCTTTCCATAGATCACAGAGGAAAACATGAGCTGAAATAAAATCCCACAGAGAGCACTCAGTGCCACCACTTTTAGATGTAGAATGGCCTTTGGAAATATTATTTTCAGGTTGTCTCCGCATTAAGTGGGAAGACGATACAGATTGGCTTTAGAGGTACCAGAAGGCTAATAACAATGCTTTCAGGGCTAATGTTACAGACTTTTCCTCCTACTGGATCTTGAATCTGACGCTTTAGGAATGTCCTCCTCCCACTTTGAGTACCAGATAAAGAAACACTCCAGCAAAGCAGGACTTCTTGGGCAGTAAAGGATGAGAAAATACCCTAACACTTCATCTGCCCCTTTGACAATAGTAGTCTCTCCTTTGTCCTTTCTCTTCCAAGCAGCTTTAGGTAGGGTATTGTAAGAACAATACTTAGAAATTCTATGATTTGATACATATGAGGTTTTTCTGGAGGAAGTCCAGCCATTGTTAATATAATGAGAACTGTTTGCACGATGCTGATGTAACCTGGCAGCCAAGGAGGGTGGACTGGAATGCACATGCGTGAACAACGATGACTTCACTGTACTAGTCAGTGGAGGCAGTAGATGCCATTGAATGAGCATGTGTACTATGTGGCTGTCACATTAAAAACAACTGAGCAAGTAGAACAATGAACCTGCATCAAATTTTGTGTTAAGCTTGAACATTCCTCTGTGGAAACTATTTGGATGACTCAGAAGGCCGCAGCTGTGGGCAACTGGTGGCTGGCAGCTTCATCACATCAATGCACCCCCTCATGCATCACATCTCATGAAGAGTTTTTTGGCAAAATATCAAATCACCCAGGTGATTCAGCCCCCCACTACAGCCCAGATTTAGCGCCCTGTGACTTTAGTTTGGCTTTTCCCAAAACTAAAATCACCTTTGAAAGGAAAGAGATTTCAGATCATCAGAGATTCAGGAAAATACTATGGGGCCGCTGATGGAGACTGGGAGAGCTGTGTGAGGTCCCAAGGTGCCTACTTTGAAGCGGACTGAGGCTTCATTGTCCAATGTACAATGTTTCTTGTATCTTCTCCAATAAATGTCTCTATTTCTCATATTACATGGCTGGATACCTTCTGGACAGAACTTGTATATGCAGAAGGAGCAAAAAATGAATAAAAGGACAATTACATCTTACTTTTGCAGCTTTTGATCTTCTTCATTCATTCCACAAACATTGAATCCACCATAATAGGCATTTCCCATAAGCATCCAGCTTGAATTCCAGCAAGTGTGGAGAGTGTAACAGTTTGCATTAGAATTTTTTTGAAGAGTACTGTATATTTTTTGGATGGGGGAATTGCTAATAGTATTTGGGACTAGAAGTGAACTCCATGAGGGATGTGGTGTCAGTGGACAGTTCTGGGTGAGAAGGGAAGAGGGATTTTCCAGTTCTTCTATGATGGGGTATGAGGAGGGAGGAAGAGAGAGAGGGAGAGTAGAAGCAGGCCTAGGGAAATGGGGAGGAGCTGGATTGTATAAGATGTGCTCTGCCCTTGTGACTCCTCAGTCCTCAGCATAGTTACCAACATATATAGTCTTTTCAGTGTAACAGCCATGTGCTTTTTTAAAAAGTTCTAACCTGAGGACATTTTCTTTCATTGCTTCGAGAGAAAGAAATGGGGGAGGGAAGGAAGGGGAGTGGGGTGGAGACAGAGAGAGAGAGAGAGAGAGAGAGAGAGAGAGAGAGAGAGAGAGAGATGTGAGATAGAAACATCAATCGGTTGCCTCCCGTCCATGCCCTGACTGGGGATCGAACCTGCAACTTAGGTATGTGCCCTGAATGGGAACTGAACCTGCAATGGGAATTTTGGTCCATGGGAATTTTGGAGCATGGGAACAATGCTCCATCCGAGTCACACTGGCCAGGGAAAAACAGCCATATGTCTTATACACATAAACACTGACTCCTCACAATTCTCTGAGGCTCAGAGGGATTGAGTTCTGGAGCCCGATTGCTCTGCTAGAAGTACTGATGGAGGGCTGCAGAGAGCGGTAGGCACTGCAGGTGGGGCTGGAAGGGTGCAGCGGCTGGCGTAATGGCATTCTATGGCGTGGAGGCAATGAATGTACACTCCGCTCTGGAGACAGAGGCGATTTGGTGTGGCTGTGAGTCATTATACTCAGATGAGTGGCCCAGCTGAGGTGGCCATTTGGGAAAGGCCTGTGAGATTCATGCTGGGTATCAAATACACACACACACACACACACACACACACACACACACGCTCTGTCCTCATGAAGTCTTGCACTCTAAAAAGGGAAATAAATTATTAACAATCGCATTTCTAATTATATAACTGCAAGTTTGGTAAACCACAAGTGTGATAAATACCCTGAAGGAAAGGTGCAGGGTACCACTCGAGGGCTTCATCTTGTCTGGGATGAGGCCTGAGAAAGCTTCCTGAGAAATCACATGGTAGGATCTGAGCCGGTGAAGGATGGGGCTAGGAGCTGGGAGAGCACAGCGATGTCAATGGGGCCAGGCATTTCCAAGTAACTGGTGCAAATGGTCAGGGGCAGGTAATACCTGATATTCATTCAAGGGCCTGGTGAAGCTGCTGTGGGTGATGGGGGAGGTGATGCCGTAGAGGGAACAGGGCCACGTTAGAAAAGCTAAGGATATTTCTGCCATGTTATGAGTACTGGTGCTCAGCATGCAGGAAAGTCATTGAAAGTTTTATTTCTTGTCAGGGATGCAGGCTGATCAGTGCTGTATTCTGTGAGGATCCCCATGGCAACAACAAGATTCATGACAGATGGGAGAGGCCAGGATGCGCAAGGAATGACATAGCCTAGGATGAGTGCCCTGGAGACTGAGAACAAGGACTGGACTTCCAAGGGGTCCCTGAGGGCTGATGATCAGTGTGGGCCGTGAGGGTAGGCGCATTTTTGGCTGGCTCTCTTAACAGAGAAAAACTGCATGATCTTCCTGATATGTGGAATCTAAAAAGGTCAAATAGCTACAAGCAGAGTAGAATGATGGTTGCCATGGACATGCAGGAGGGGGAAGTGGGGAGATGTTGGCTAAAGTTGTACAAAGTGGCAGTTAGGTAGGATGAGTAAGTCTGCAGGTCTAATGTACAGCATGATGACTAGTGTTAATAATAATCTTTGAATACTGGGACTTAGCCAAGAGAATATATTGCAGGTGCCATTGATCACATACAGAAAAGTGGTAAATATGCATGCCAATTAATTTGCCTATAGCAATTAGTTCCCTATGTATACGTATGCCAAACCATCATGCTGCACATCTTAAATAAATATAATTTTTATATACCAAAGTTAAAGGAAGAATTGAATGCTAATCACATAGAGGTGACATGATAGCCATGGGGCAGCGGAGGTTCTACAGAGAGGGACAGAGAAAAGAAAAAAGGGACAGAACTTGGGGGTTGACAATTCACAGAGCAGAAGACACTGATAAGACTTGTTTAATTGGGTGAGGCAGCCAAGTTTTACAAGCCTGGAGATTTCACCGACAGGTGCAGGTTTCTGTTTTCTTTTGAAAGGGAGAAGGACCCAGAAAGGCTGGCCCATTCTTTAATGATGACAATAGCCTGGAGCTGCAAAGTGGCTGCCTCCTGCAGGGGAGGCATTGTTTGTTTCTAGTTTACCACGGTCCCTCCCGGATTCACTTCACTCACCAAGGGGATGTAGGCAGAACACCAAGGGGTTGTAGGTTTGTACGAAGGTGGAGCAGAGGCCAGCTCTCAGGGACTCGAGAGTGGAAGGGACAGGACTATTGGAGTCGGGCACACAAACACCCTCTGCGATAAGCTCAGAGGCTTAGAGGGGAAAGAGTAGGTCCCTTCAAACATCTGCTAAGGGCAGGCACTGTGCACTCTGCCAAGGGAACTTGGAGAGAGTACGGATACAGAACCTGTCCTCAGGCAGTTTACTGACTAGCAGAGAAGCCAACACAGCTGCCTTATTTCAGGATGAGGCCACTTTGGAAAAATGCCACTTAAAAGCCATAAAATGCTGGCAGTTCTGAAGAAGGAGAAGCCTAAATCAGCTACTCCACTGTACTCTATTAGCAAACCGAAGATATCTAGCAATCAGATATTTGTTGTTAGAGGTGTAAATAAGTGTGTTAAATAAAACATTAACTTAAAAAGCACAGGTGTCACAGCATTTTTCAGAGCAGTGGCGGTCTTGTTTACATGATCTTCCATGCTTCTCAACCGTCCATCTTTCCCTGCAATAGGTCATCGTTTGTAAATATCACTGGAAACTTATGCAGGTGAGTTTTTATCAGTTATCTGTGCTCTGTGGGTCTGCCCAGAAGGACTACTGCCTTGTCTTTTTATTCTGCCTTTCTTTGAAGCTACTCTCAGTGGGCTTTAAATATTGGTTTAAAATTTTAAGTGCTAAGCTTTTTTTCTTTACAGCCCAGAGCTTTTTGATCTTTACCCACTGAGGCTTATAACTGAGGAAAAAAGATCAGGACTGGGCCAAGATTTGAGTCATTCACAGAGAATTCATAGTACTCGGGGACAATGAGTTGACCCTGAGAGTGAAGGAGAGTGACGGAAGGGTCAAGGACAGAAGTGTGGGCACTGCCTCCTCTCGGGTGGGATCGCTCTGCATTACCACCCACTGTCAAAGGCCTTCAGACCTCCAGGCGAGACTGCTGGGAAGAGAAGGGGCAGGGCCGCAGCAGGGACTGTGGGTCACGTGGGGGTGGCTCTCCGAACTAAGAGGAGGCTTTTGCCAGGAGGAGAAGGAGAGAGGCCCGTACAGGTTAGGGAGTCCTGGAGGAATTGTAACTTGGAATTCTTGCACAAAGTATGGGCTAGATTAGACTTTTTTCAATTATAGTAATATAGGTCTTACGCTACATTGTGACTTCCTCCTAATTTATGTATGTAATGACTGGAAGAAGAGCAGTAACTTTAAGAGCCAGATGTATAGTCCTTTTTTTTTTCCTTCCGTTTTGTGCCTTTATTTTTAGACCAGAAAATATAAAGCTCACAGGACAGCGTCATCCTTAAAACCTTAGAGCACTTTGTTGAGCTCGAATCTTACTACAAAACCCCAGACACTTGGCACGTGACCAGGACATATTGTTGCCCAAAGGACACAGTGACTTACCTGCTGCAGCCTCTTTGTTTGGAAATAACTTGCTGTCAACTGCCATGCTGATGTCATAGAACACCTCATCCTCGTCTCGGTCAGCATCAAACTGGGGGAAATCAGGACACACAAGTTGGGAACATGAGAACACATAAATTAGTTCATTCCAAAATATCATAAGTGTGCTTCACACAGTTGTATCCTTAATGAAGCAGGACCATGGGAATTAAAGCTCTCCAGCCTTTAATCAGACACTTACCGAGTTTTTTAGGCCAGGCCTCATAGAAAACAGAAAGGGGTATTAGCGAGTAAATTAAACTGGGAAACTAGGCAATGGTACGGTCAGTTATGGTTAAAAAATTAGTAGACTATTCTTAATTTACGAAGTAAGCTTTGGAAAAAAGGAAAACTGAAATTTATTTTGTGTTTTTCTGGCTTACTTTTATTTTTAAATTTAAAAAATCTCATGAAAATATTTAGTTCTAAATCATAGGGAAATGATTTTTTCTCCTATATTGTTAAAAAGAAACCCCAAATCAAATTTTAGTTACCATTCTAGATACTGTAAATAGTAATAGATGTAGTCTATAGACACTATATATTTAGATGTAATACAAATTACAGAATTAAGTATTTATTTTACCATTCCCTAAAATTTACAAAATTTTGAAGAAACATGTGGTTATATTTATAAGTCCTCTATTGTCTAAGCTGTGAAGAGTTTACCTAAACACACTTCTATCTCCCTTGTTTTCAAAAACAGCTTTATTGAGTTATAACTGACATACAATAAATTGCACATATTTAAAGTGTACAGTTTTGACTTCTGTAGACACCTATAAAACTGTAAAAATAAAAATAATGAACATATCCATCACCCCCAAAAGTTTCCTGTGTCTCCATAAAAATTCCTTCCTCCTGCCCCCTGCCAGGTGATCACTGGGTTGCTTTCTGTAACTAAAGATTATTTTACACCTTCTAGAATTTCATACGAAAGGATTTTTACAGGATGCCATCCTTTTGTCTGGATTGTTTCACTTAGCACGATTATTTCGAGATTGGTCAATGTTGTATCCATAGCTCATTCTTTTTTCATTGCTGAGTTGTATTTCATTGTATGGATATACTATTAATCCCATCCTGGATATCTTTCAGCTGAGATATTATAGTTTTCATTTCTAGATGTTTGATTTGAGTGTTTAAAAATATCTCTGTCACTACTTATGGTTTGAACATCTGAAATACAATTAGAGTAACTTTAAAAAATTTTTTCATTGATTTGAGAGAGTGATAAAGGGAGAACATAGATTTGTTGTTCCACTTATTTATGCATTCATTGGTTGATTCTTGTATGTGCCTTGACAGGGGACTGAACCCACAACCTTGGCGTATGGGGACAATGCTTTAACTAATGAGGTACCTGGTCAGGGCCAATTACAGTAACTTTTAATGTCCTTCTCTGCTAATTCTGACATTTGGTGTCAGTTCTGAGTTAGTTCTGACTTACATTTTTTCATTATTTTGAACCATATTTTCCTGTTTCTTTTCACACCTGGTAAATTTTTATTGGCTACCAGGCATTTTGACCATATTAGATGCTAGGTATTTTCAAATTCTTGTAAATATTATTGGCTTTGTTCTGGAATATAGTTTAATTACTTGGAAACAATTTGATCCTCTCAGGTCTTGTTTTTAAAGATTTGTTAGGCTGGACCAGAGCAATGTTTAGTTTATGGCCAATTATTTCCCACTGTAGAGACAGGACTATCGTTAAGTCCTCTCCCCAGTGCCTTGTGAGTTAATAAGTTTGTCAGTTTGACTGGTAGAAATAGGCTCTCTCACTCTTCCAAGCCCGGTGTGAGCACCAGCTACTACTGTTCCCACTAATTCTCTTGGGTGATTTTTCCCCCTCAGGTTCAAGTAGTTCTCTCACACGCATGCCCTGATTAGCACTCTGCTGAATGCTGAGAGTGAACCCTCTGCAGATCTCCGCTGCTCCCCATTCAGCTCTCACATCTCTGATACTTCGTGCTCTGAACTCGAGCTACCTCAGTCTCCTGGACTCTCAGCTCCATCTGCTCAGCTCATGGAGTGCAGCAGCCTGCACAAGGCATCCCTCTCCTGCACGGCAGCCTGGAGATGCTCCGGCACTAAGCTGGGGCAATTGCGGGGCTCATTGCATTCATTTCCTGTCTCTCAGGGAATCATCCCATTGCTCGATGCCCAGTATCTTGAAAATTACACACACACACACACACACTCCACACACACAAGTATATATAATTTGTTTGATTCATGTGGGAGAGAAAAATCCAGTCTCTCTTATTCCATTTTTGTCAGGAGTCTCAATTCTTTAACTTTAAATCTTAATTATTACATTGCAGATACTTAGGAAGATATAAATGATTTATTCCTTTATATTTTTCTATGGAAATGTTTCATCATTATTATTTTTATTATTTTTAATCCTTACCTGAGGATATGCATGTTGATTTTGAGAGAGAGAGTAAGGGATAGAGAGAAATGGATGTGAAGGAGAAACATCATTCAATTGCCTCCTGTATGTGCCTTGACTAGGGACTGAACCGGCAACCTAGGCATATGCCCTGACTGGGAGTTGAACCTGCAAACTTTTAGTTCATGGGACAATGTGCTAACCAACTTAACCACCTGACCAGGGCTGAAGGGTTTCATTATGCTTAGTGAGGGATACTTAGAAACCTAAATTAGGCCATTTCCTTGCCTCCCCTTACACGGTTGAAACACATCTTATATAGTGCTTCAAAGTGTTTCCAGGGGGGTCCAAACTTTTGGTGTCTCTGGGCCACACTGGAAGAAAAAGAGTTGTGTTGGGCTACACATAAAATACACCGCGACACATAATCACACAAAAATAATCTTATAATGTTTTAAGTAAATTTACAATTTTGTGTTGGGCCGTATTTATTGCCATCCTGGGACGCGTGTGGTCTGCGGGCTGCAGGTGGGACAGCCCTGGGCCTTTCGTTAGGTCGCATTAGCTTCTGGGAAATGTAAGGCAGATCGTTTTCTTTCTATTTTACCGGTGAGGAAATATCTGTTCAGAGATACCACAACCTTCTCAGGTTACACAGGTAATAAGCAGGAGAGCTAGGACTTGAACTGAGGATGACTTTCCATCGCATTAGGCTTCATAGACCATGACAGTAAGACAAATACAGCCCTTCCGCTCAGGGAAGTGCTAACACAGCCCTTTGTCTAAAAGCAGCGGGAGAAAAGCAGGTGGTGATCATCAGGGCAGGTACAAGGAGACCCAAAGGTACGGTTAGTGCTGTCTTAACACACTGCTTCCTGCAGGCATACTCCATGGTCGCTCACTGATTGATTGACTGATTGATTGATTTTTAACTTTCACACAGGATTTGCTATAAGCCTTCGGGTCTTCTTGTTCAATCCAAAAGCCGTATTTAAGTGTTGTGGATCCCAGTTAGGGGTGCAAGAATCTGACTTTCTTAAACAAATAACAGTTGAAGAACTCAAACTGAAAGCAAATAACTGCAAGAAGGTATTCATTTCACCTGTGCCGCCTGATCTTGTTGGGTGTCAGCGTTAGGTCTGGCTATCAAAAGAGCTCCCTCCCCTCCCTGCAGGCTCTTGTGTGGCCCACTCGGACAGAGAAGGTTAATCCTGCCAATGAGGCCAAGTACCCCCTGGACACAGTGAAGATTGAGGTATAAATGGAAGCAGCAACTGGTAGAGTCTGCCTGGCCAGGGGATGTGGAGGAGGGCGTCCAGGGGTTAGGCTACAGAGCAATCAGGTATTTTCATTTTACTTCAGTGCCACAGCCTTTCATGGCTGGTGAAAGGAAGGTAAACCTGGATGTTGCTATAAAACTTAGTTTACCGAATCTTTAAAGAACTCAATTTTTTTCTGCCTCTCTTGTAATTTGGATCTCTTCTTATGTCCATTGTACTATATGCAAAGAGGGTAACTAAACAACACCACTTTTAGTCCTTGAATCTATTTCCAGGTTTATGACAGTAACTGTGTTTACATTTTATGATGCCTAGTATTGACAAATGTTCTATCCCTATATTAAACAAATGAATCCAAAGACCTTTATTTGGTGGGTTTTATTTCCTACAATTTATACTGCCACCCGTCTTACATAAATTACTTAACATTATGAAGTCAGGAATTGGGGACAAAATTTAATTGACAAAATAGTTGTTCTGTTTTTAAAACCTGTTCAGTTCTACCAATTATAAAGCCAAATGGGGAAAAAAAGGAAAGTATATAAGATGCTCAGAATGGTACCTACAATGTCATTAGTTGCACTGTACAAAGATCTTCCTTCCTGTTCAGTTGTAGAGAAAACATGTAGAACAAATGAAGATAGAAACACATATTTTACATCCAATTAGCCTGTTTATTTGACTTTCAAAATATGTTAACTATCATCAGTAAAGGGTAACATCTACTAAGAGGGGTATTATTTTCAATTTTTCTTGGACTTCTGAGGGATGGGTGGGAACATTGTCACTTTATAAATGAAAGAGCACACACTTATGTTTTAGCCAGGGATCCCTAGAAAACAGAGCCTATTGTCAAAACTTACAGGCGTGAACCTTTATTAGGAGTAATGTGTGTGTGTGTGTGTGTGTGTGTGCACGCTCACATGTGAGAGGGAAAAAGGGAAGTGAGGCCAAAAAGGAAAGGAAGTAAATTTATGATGGTGCATTACTGAGCTGTGTATCAGTTTCATAAGAAGACACTGCTGGTTGCTGGGTCTCATGACATCTCAGAACAGTGTGACGGGGGAGTAAGGGAGAGGCATTTACGTGCTGGCTCCTTTCAGGTTTTTCTTTCGCTGGCCCAACTTTTCCCTAACAAGGAGTTAGATCCTCCGGCCACTTCTTTGTTATGTTGCCTCACCTCTGGGGCACCACTGGGAAGGCAGGCGCATGCCCTAGAGATCAGCACAGCTTCTGATCTGGAACCGCGGAAAGGAGCCAGAGCCACTGTGGGTCTGGCGGGGCCTGGGAGCCGCCTGTGCAGGGCTCCCATGCGGTGGGGGTGATGAAGTGGCTGGCTGGGGCAGTCAGCGTTGGTGCGGGTGCCCTGGCTGA